CCAATCCTTTCATTCATGACTGAAAATAGTATACCAGGAAGGTGAGCAATTTATAAATATAAGACAATTTATGAAAATAAGAAAAATATTTTCTTGTTAAGCAACAGTTCACATTGTTCCAAAGTCAAGTAAAATAATACAATAAGCAGACACAAAGGTATCAGCCTCCTGTCCTCCTTAACTTCCAACTCTCTTGTCTTACTGTTCTAACTCTCATGGCTCCCCCTTTCACCCTTATTGAGCCTCTAAGAATTCCACATGCTGATCCCTGCCCAGGAATACAACTTCAAGTCTCACCATCAGTACAACAAATCCTAGCAAAATAAATAAATACTGTCTGAACTTTAATAAGGACAACATTACCTAATTTGACTGAGATGTGACTTTGGCAAATGCTTTTCCAGTTAGTGTCTTTTCAGCTTGTTGAGCTCAAGATAGGGGCTGGGTATCTGGATTGATGAGGGCTACCACCTGCTTACTGAGTTCCCATCCCACCTGGATGAGTAAAGCAACCAAACTAGCTCTTATGCCATGCCTAAGAGAGGTTATTAATATCTCCTTTTAGGAGGTATTGTTCTGTCTTGCTTCAAGGAAACAGTGATAAGACCTTTCTTAAAGTATAGGTCAGTTTCAAATGTACAATTTTTGGCCAAGGTGATAAAGAAGGTGGTAGCCTAAAAACTCCAGATACATCTGGATGTTAAAGCAGATTATCTGAACCTGCTGCAACTGGGTTTTCAGCTAGGATATGGAACAGAGATTGGTTCAGTCACCTTGAAAGGTGACCTATTTATTTTTAATTATATTTATTCAATTTATTAAATTTCTACCACACCCATTAGCCAGCATGACCTATGTCAGGAACTAGAGAGAAGGAATGTAGTTTATTAGTTCTCCTGGACTCTAGAGGGCTTTTAATATTATTGATCCTGTTATCTTTCTGGAACACCTACCAGAGCTGGGACTTGGGGGCACCAAACCTTTCTATAGTGTTGGCCCCAGAATGGTTCTGGGATACCGCTACTTTACTTTGGCCTGTGGTGCTTCACAGGAGCTTATCTTGTCCCCTATACATTTAACATATGAAGACAATAGAAGAGGTAAAATAGTGTTTTGGAATGATACACTATTGTTATATTGATGCTTTTTTTGTCATTAACACCAAGGAAATGATATTTACCCTTGAATATTGTCTGGGCCCCATAATGGGCTTGATGCAGGAGAGCTGATGAGCTGCTATTAAGTCCAGAAAGGTGGTTAAGAGGTGCAATTGGGGCAGCAGAAAGTCTGTTTCGGGTATTGAGATTCAACTTGTTTAGGAAGTGGCTGAACTCGCCATGGAAGATCTTATTCAAAGCTAGGAGGTGCTCCTTGATACTGTGTTATTCCTGGATATTCAGGTGGTGGCTTTATATTCAGTGGGTCAGCTGCAACATCTTCTGAGACAATCTGATTTGCAGAAGATATCCATACCTTAAGTCAAGCCACATCTAGGCTATTGCAATATACTCTGCATAGGGCTAGCCTTGAAGAACATCCTAGAGGTTCATTGGGTGCAAAATGAACCAAAACTTGTTAACCAGTGCATGGGGTCAAGAACATATTACCCTAATATTTAAGGATCAACACCATTTCCAATTATTCAAAGTCCTAAATGGCTTAAGACCTGGATATCTATGAACATAACTGGATCTGCAGGGGACCTTTTGGGGACACCGTCAGAGAGGCTCATTTGTCAGGGTCATCTGAAAGGGCTTTCCCCTGCATACTGTATCTTCCAGACTACAGAAAGTCTCTTCTTCATTACAACTGGTCCCCATTCTTGCAGCTTTTATAGAAGGTGTTAAGACACTTTTTTCCTGATCCTTTAATCACTGTTATTTGTTTTTAAATATCTTAATGATTTAGCATAATTTTATTTTATGCTAAAATATTATACATGTTTTATGTTATTGTTGTATGTTATCTGTTGGACATAGCTGAGTGATTTCTGTGTAAAGGAAATTTAACATATTAAAAATAAATCTATTTGGGAATCAAGTTCTGTCACTGAGGAACCATGGGGAATAGAAGAAGAATTTCAAGTCCTTTAGTTGCTCGATATCCTGACCTGATGTAAGGATAGAATGGACAACTTGGTGAGTGGGCTCCTTTGTTGGGAAAGGCCCGTAAAGCCAGGCTGTACAAGGTTTTATGAATTTGAAACTTAAAGTGGGCCCAGTTTTTGGTGTGCTGCTTCACTGGCTGCGTATTCTGTAAAGATGTTTCCATAATTACATTTTGCTTTGTTGTGAGATGTATTATGGGAAGATCATTTGAATGAAACGGGTGGCTAAAAATATTTAGAATGAATAAATGGTTTTTAAAAGTGGAGCTGAACCAGAGACACATGCAGGGCATGATGGGTACATTCGACATGAAAAGCATTTTCAGGGACTGGGAATCAGGAAAGGGCGTGCTTGAAAAGCAGAGGAGAACAATTCCTCTGAGTTAAAAAATATAGTACGGAAAACAGCTCTTACATTTTAAAACGCAAAATGGGACAAGCGCTGTTATCATCATTTTAAACAGAAATATATTTCATTCTGAGGACTGAACAGGTGACCAAAATGCCCCTATAAAATGGTTTTTATTTTGTATTGTTTGCTTTCCAGCATGCTCAGAATGGACATTTGAATGAATGCAGAAGTCTGATTTATGAAGAAAATTCCCCTGCATGGGCACTAGTTCCAAAGTATACAGTGATTAGTTTTAAGTCAGCAGAATATGCACCACCGGCATAATAAAACTTTCACCAGCAGCTGCTGCATTAGAACACAGCCGGTTCCTTCAACAGGCCTCAGCTGTTTGGCATGTATGTTAGCCACTCGCCTTCTGCATTTTAATAATACTGAAAAAATAAGCTTTTTTGATAAACAAATTCTTCTAAGGTTCATTAACTTTGCTCATTAAGAATTTTTTTTTATTTCTCCCTCAGCACAACCTCTTTTAAAAATGCTTATACAACCAAGGTCCCTGTTTTTTGTGTTTGTTTTTGCAAAATGGCTTTAGAGTTATTTTCCTTGTCTGTAAAAGTTTGAAGCAGGGGGCGTGGGGGAGAGAAGCTCATCAGAAAATGCCGGAGTAAAACATTAAAGAACACCTGAAATAATGACTGTTTGTGCATCGCTGATGCAGCCTATGCTATAATATCACCTAAGCAAATGGGTTTCAAAAGGTCTAATTAAGCATGACCTACATAGAAGAAGCCTAGTAAAAGCCCAGCAAAATGAGATATGTGGATGAAGCACAGTTCCTTATTGCATACATAATGTACTATTACATAATGTACTAGTCTATAGTCCTTTAACTTCACATTCTGGCAGCAGTGCATTTCCTACAAAAAGGTTGCTCCACATACTGAGGTGGGTTTTTCCCTTTTCCTGTGATGCCCTGCTAGTGGAAGAAGGGATAGTACAGCTGTAGCTGTGAGAATAGATGTTGGAAGCTCTTTGGCTTTAACTTTCTCTCTCTCTGCTAACCCAGAGATGGCTATTTGCAGCTGGAAAGAGGAGGGTGTTCAGCTCAAGTTGTATCTAGGCATGATGGAAGGTGTCTGGCTGCACCACAAAGTCCACATTCTATTTCCAAAGTGCTCCCAACATGGCTGCACATTTAGGCCTCAGTGATATACTAATGTATATCAGTAAGCCCACCTGCCTGTTGGATGGACACTTTCACAAGCTTTGATCCTGGTTTTGTTGCTGCATAGCCTTGCCATGTTGACACCATGAATTACTTGTTGCCATGAGGTAATGATTGTACAGTACTTTTTTCTAATCATTCCAGATGTCCCCCTTGAGATGATAGTAAGCTCTTTATGCAGAATGAAGTATTATGTAACTCTAATACAGCTCGCTGAAACTCATTAAAGAAAAGACAACTGTGGTTAAAGTCCCAGTGGCAGACATACATGGAGAAGAAAGGGTAGGGTTAAACAATAAGTATATCGCCATCAGAGTATTCCCCCAAGAATTCAACACCACTTACAAGATCTGTTTACAATTGCCTGGCTAAATTAGTACCAAAGGACAGGACGGAATTAGTTATGAAAACACATGACTAAGGCTTGCTTAAAAGAGATACAATCAGCCCCTGAATGATTTATGTAGGAACATGCAAGACTTCATATATTCCCTGCATCCATTATATTTGTAGCGTAAGAAGAATCTGGTGCCTAGGAGATAATTCTCTGAGAATCTCTGTTTTCATTTGAAAAATCACACATTTCTAGCTCTTATGGATAGAGTGGCAAAATAGAATGGGAATTCCTTGAAGCTACTTCTGCAAGTTTCCAATTGCCATGCCTTCGGTCTCTGCTAAGGCGATTCTGCTACAGGCGAATATATAACTAATCATTAATTTTGTTCTTGTCACCTGTCAGTTTTTTCCTCCAGTATTTTGTTCAAGGTGACAGCTTCCAGCTTTTCAGGTCTGCCACAATCAGCCTCTTAACTTGTAAAAAATACCTGCTTGTCACAAAGGGTACAGAGGAGGGAAGAAATGCATTTTTATAAAAAGCTAGATGACTGTATATTTTGCTTTACCTTCTCATAACTACATAATGTTTTGGTGTTGCCCTTTCACCATTTCTCTGTATTGCTATCCACACATCAAGCATATGCAGAAGTGTATTGTTTCCATCCAAACAGAGTTGGAGGAACAACAACAACAGTGATAACCATATCATCATATAATCATAGGATGCACAATTGTAGTTATAGCAATAATCTTCACTCCAGGACAGCCTGTATCTGTGTGTTTGTGTGTGTGAACATAAACAACAACAATTAACAACATCCAGAGCTTTTGGATTCCATCTCCCAACAACCACAGCAATAGATCATACTGGCTGGGGCTGATGGTAGTTGTGGTGTACCACATACAGAGGAAACCGAGTTGCAGAAGGCTGGGGTAGCCTTGGGCTTTAAATAAAACAACAAGCCAACCAAAAGAATTACCTGACAAGGTCGATGACTCTCTCCCTTGGAGCAGTGTTGACAGGCTCATCATTAATCATTATGATTTGATCTCCTGGAATCAGTTTTCCTTCAGAAGGACCTCCTGTAAAGACATGTCATTCAAGCACAAATTATACACATTAGTGTGTCTAATATCTCTATTATGCAGGTATGAGATATTCATTATATATTATTACACTGGAGATGTGAATGACATTTTACAGGTACATCATCACTGGTGAAATTTAGCACTTAAGAATTCAACACCATCAACACTAAGGAATAGCAATGATATTTATCTCCTACAGAGACATGTACGTATAACTAAATATTGCTGATAGATGAAAGAAAAGCACCAGTTGTGATTCCAGTAGGAGTTTCTGCTTCATGATGGCACATAAATGAAGCCCAGAAATTGCATGCCCTGTCTGACTGTAATTACCCTTCTACTCCACTTTCTTCCAGAAGGGTCACTTGTCTGCAAGAGCTAAGGTCCTTCAGTCTTTAGAAGTACTCAGTGGGCCTTGCAGGGAAGAGTCATAAAGGCTGTCTATATGGTAGCAGAGTCAAGAAGAGGCACAGAAAAGCTGAATTCAAGTAAATTGCAGATTCATGTGGTAAAGATACCAACAGCACATCAGCTTGAGATCCATAGATTCTTCAGAGTTTGAGATACTACTGGTAATGCATCCGTAGGCATGGTTCAGACAGTATGAATTTAATTAGAAGGCAATGCCAGTCTGTTAGCTCTGTGAAAGCTTATTCCATAATATTGCTACTGCTCTATGGCAAACCTAGGGTGAATGGTCTATGGCAAGGATAGGAATTTAGTGGCCTACAATTCCCATCATTCCTTATCATTGGCTATGCTAGCTAGGCTGATGAAAGCTGTAGTCCAAAATATTTGGAGGACTAAAATTTGCTCCTCCTTCATGGATCACTGCCTTGTCATGACGAAGGGGCTTGTATAGCTCAATGAAGCTATGAGCTATGCCGTGCAGGGTCACCCAAGACGGATAGGTCATAGCAGAGAGCTCTGACAAAACGTGATCCACTGGAGAAGGAAATGGCAACCCACTCCAGTATCTTTGCCATGAAAACCCCATGGACAGTATCAACAGGCAAAGAGATATGATGCCGGAAGATGAGCCCCTCAGGTCGGAAGGTGTCCAATATGCTACTGGGGAAGAGTAGAGGGCTAGTACTAGTAGTGCCAGAAAGAAGTGACTGGGTCAAAGCCGAAAGGACACTCAGTTGCCGATGTATCTGGTGGTGAAAGGAGAGTCCGATGCTGCAAAGATCTATACTCCATAGGAACCTAGAATGTAAGATCCATGAATCAAGGCAAGCTGGACGTGGTCAAACAAGAGATGACAAGACTGAACATTTTAGGAATCAGTGAACTAAAATGGACAGGAATGGGTGAATTTAATTCAGATGACCCTCAGGTATACTACTGCGGGCAAGAATCCCTCAGAAGAAATGGAGTAGCCTTCATAGTCAATAAAAGGGTAGGAAAAGCAGTATTGGGATACAATCTCCAAAATGACAGCATTATCTCAGTTCGAATCCAAGGCAAACCATTCAACATCACAGTAGTTGAAGTCTATGCCCCAACCACTGGTGCTGAAGAGGCTGAAGTTGACTGGTTCTATGAAGGCCTACAACACCGTCTAGAATTAACTCCTTATCATCATGGGGGATTGGAATGCTAAAGTAGGAAGCCAAAAGATAACCGAAATAACAGGCAAGTTTGGCCTTGGAGTACAAAATGAAGCAGGGCACAGGCTGGTCAAGAGATTTTGTCAAGAGAATACGATGCAAACACTCTTTTCCAACAACCCAAGAGACGACTCTACACATGAACATCACCAGATGGTCAACACAGAAATCAGATTGACTATGTGCTCTGCAGCCAAAGATGGAGAAGCTCCATGCAGTCAGTAAAAACTAGACCAGGAGCTGACTGTGGCTCAGATCATGAGCTTCTGGTTGCAAAATTTAGGCTTAAATTGAAGAAAGTAGGGAAAAGCACTAGGCCACTTAGGTATGACCTAAATCATATCCCTGATGAATATACAGTAGAGGTGACAAATAGATTTAAGGAATTAGATCTGATAGACAGAGTGCCTGAAGATCTATGGACAGAGGTTGGCAACATTGTACAAGAGGTAGCAACTAAAACCATCCCAAAGAAAAAG